CAAAAAGTACAGTTATTTATCGCGCCGTGTCATTAGCTCAAAAAGATAGGATCGACTTGCGGGATACCGCGGGAAGAGAAAGTGCAATTAATCACTATACGTGTCGATGAAATAATGATCCCACTTCTGCTTTCTTGAATATCATTTTTATCGAGAGCCTAAAAGTCGCGTGTTCGGCAGTTCTGCGTAACGGCCGACAACCCTTATCGGCGCGCAGTTCAAAAGAGTCGAAATAGACGCGTAGACAACATCTTTGTACTGTTATTGCGACAAATATTGTCATACGCCTCGGTGGTCGAGTTGGTGAGACGCCCGCCTGGAGCGTAGGGAGGCCCAGGTTCAAACCCTGGCTGAGGTAATATTTTTCGCAATAAATTTTCTGTATTATTAAAGAGACGCCAGGTATGGTTAAGAGAAAAACGCCGACGTTGTTAATTATCGCCGGCGACGTTGAAGAATTCTTATTAGTTTGATCATTTTGATTCGCCCGGGCGTCACGTCGTCTCGACTGTCCGATCCGACGCATTGAGACCTCAGCGAAAAAAGCGTGGGAGGGCCGTGACGGGGCGCCATGAGCGATGTTGCTCGATTACCATAATAATCTCGTGTCGCCGTGTTCGCCGTGTGTCGCGATTCGAGAGGCCGACTGCCGTGAACGAACGCGATGCACTTCGAGATGCGGCGCGAAGTGCCCGAGCACCGCGCCGATTTCACTCGACAATCCACGTACTTCGCCTCCAGACTCTTTATCCAAGACGGACGAGTACTCGGGAGTGCTATTGTCCAGGTGAGTTTGCATTGTGGACGCGACGATACCATCTATACTCGCCGGAGAATGCCGGAGGAGATAGTCCGCTTTGCTCGCGCGAGGCTTCGTGGAAATATTCGTCTAAGATGTCTCGATACAATCGCGCCGTAGTGGCTGGTATTTTAAGTCTTCCAGTACGATTGAGACATACGCGCCGAAGAGCTCGGAATTTATCAAGAGCCGAACATTTACATTCCGTTTTACATACCGCTTAATTGAGTATGACATTATATAGCGGTAAAGGACGCAATTAGATCTTTCAATGCCTATTTTTTATATTTTTTTAATGCCAAAAACATTAAAAGATTTAATACGTATTTATAGAGGCGCGTTTTGTACAGGTATATATGTCCGGTTTCTCAGCGAAATTGGAATATAAATAATAGCGGCTATCAGGTAAATTATCGATCTCGCGTTTCCGAAGAATCTATGCGAGCCATGTAGGGATGAAAGCGACGAGAGATGTCAACGGTAATTATAAGCTATAGCCGATAAACCCGATACGATTCGTATCGTATTCATGTTACGGTGTTAGAGATATGCAAATGATTATTAATTATTAGCGTGTTGATCGTTATGTCGTCGACACGGCGGACCGGATCGGTGTACCTATGTCCGGAGTCTCTCCTCAGATCGGTGAAACACGATAAACTTTAATTAGGGAACGTATTAACGCACCGATGGTGCACTGGGTATACGATGGCGAGCAACAGCGGCTGAGTGAGTGGTTAGCAAGCAGGTGCACGGATAATTATACGTTTTCCTCGTATATCGTCGCATGCTACCGGAATAATTAAGCAAAACTGATGAGCGTCGTCTCCCCTCCTCCCCCCCCCCCCTCTGTCTCCTCTCTTTCTCTACCTTTCTCTTGGTCTCGCGTTATTTATCGGCGCGCGTCCGATACTTTCCTAAATTTTTAATTCATGCGCGGAAGCCCGGCATGAAATTAGCTTTATTATACCCTTTAGCTTCCTCCCGAAAAACCGGTACGCAAAAATGAGGTACGAAAGCGCGAAGGCGCGACCGCGATCGATCGCCACGAGATGACTTTGATGAACGTCGCCCGAACGTTGGCGCGTTTAAAAGGGGTTTTGAAGATCGCGCCGTAAACGCGAAATGCGGAGCGCCCTTTTTTCGGGGCGGACGCGCACATTTCGCCCCCGGGGCGAACAACGGTTACGTGCCCGGAGCGCGATATTTCTTAATAAGCCGCGATCGTTGGCACGCACGATCGCGATATTTCTTCGGGATCGTTGGCGCGGGCCGAGATACGTGCCGCCGCGCTCTCGCGAGTGCACCATAAATATCTAAATAGCGGAAGTGAGAAAAATTACGTATTTACGGCGGTCGTGCCGGCAGAAATAGCGCCGGGACGCTCGATTGTGTTTTGTTCGCGGCGATGTTTCGTGAGAGGTACGATTTTCCGGGACTGCTTCCACGGGCGTGATTCATCGTCGTTTCTATGAACTCGAAACGCGAGAGAGAGAGGGAACTTTTGGTAGAATCTGGAGAACATTAGATCGTCAGGAAATGATAGCGCTTAATAAGATGCCGTTGTTAACATGCACCGCGGAGAAATCTCTTCCTAGTACATTACATCTGCGCTGCTATTACACGACAAGCAAGGATGATAAAGGCTGCCCTTTATTGTTAACCCAAAATCAAATTCTAAATATTCTTTGGCATTTCAGCCGAGCGCTATTTTCTTTTTGCCGATATTCAGCCGCGACGTTTCTCCATCGTTATCGAAATATCACCGTACAACGTTTGTCGGTTGCGAATAATACGAGCCACTCGTTGTAGAGTTTTATCGATTCTATGCGTCTCAATGTTCTTTTCGCTCACTTGAACCACCTGCGCCGTGTCTGCTAAATTATAAAGTAACTCGAAATCGTGAATCGTCAACTAACGAAAACTGCACTGAAAAAAAAAATCTGATAGATTCAACCAGTCGTCCGTTAGAAAATGGACGAATCAGAATTCCTTTAGGATTTACCATGAAAAATATTTCATAATCAGAGGTTTGCTAGACTTCACTACACATCTGGTAAATCCTAAAGGAATTCCGATTCGTCCATTTTCTAACGGACGACTGGTCGAATCTATCAGATTTTTTTTTCAGTGTGGTTAACGGTAACGAGGTTCGTTCTTGGATACGCGTCGAGCCACGCGCTTTGATTACGTTAACGCTAATCGGGCCCTCGGTTCAGTCACGAGAAATAATTTCTTCCTGGTCGTCAAGAAAGAATTACACCTCCTAATCGATTCGGGGAGAAGGTGAGATCGGCACGGCGCGATACATTCGCGGCGAGACGCCTCGCCGTCGTCTGCACGCACAATAGCGATATTTTATCCCCGGTAAGTCACGAGCCCCGCGAGGTTGCATATAACACGGGGAACGCGGACCAATTACGGGCGCACGATAAATAAATAAACGGTGCCTAACTGCCGCCGGCGATTAAGCGTGATTATGCTCACGCTCGTGGCGCGCGGCTATAACAGGTTGTACTGTGAACTTTCGCCGTCGCGACGCGTCAAAATAACTCTCTCTCTCGTCGGCGCACGTAAAAGGATAAAACATAATGAACATCCCGAATAGGCGCGCCACCGGCATACGCTTTTGCCCTGCAACAGCCTGCCGGTGCAACCGCGCTAGCGCATCCAGCGCGACAGCGCCCAACTGTTATTGACTTCGCCGCAACGCCAACTCCGGAGATCTCTCTCGATGCCACGTGATTATAGTAAGAGCATCGCGTGCCGATCACTCTCGTGAAACGAGAACGTAATCGGAGCGCGAAAACGGAAGGTTTTAATCACTCGACTCTATCATGCGTCTCAAAAGTAGAGATTTATGTATAAGTAAACTAGACACAGGCTCGTCCTTTTGTAAATTACGAGGGAATAAGGTCAATAATAAACGAGCAACTAAATGTTAAAAGCCAATTTGAATATTCCGATTCCAATAAACAACTAAAATTATTTTTATCGATTTACCAGTAAGTATGATCCTATATCACAGAGATTTATGTGTTGTATACCTACATCAGAATTGCAACGCGTAATTTTAAACTGAATTAAGCAAATGCGTACAAAACATTAGTCTGCCAGTTTTTAATAACGGGATCTCTTTGATTTCTCTAATCGCCTGGACAAAAGTAAACTTACTTCGCAACAATCGTTTCCAAGAAGATGCGACTCATTGTTCACATTAGCTCGATAAGCCTGATAGAAGCTCAGCATTTTTTGGTCGAGCGCACATTATTGCGTTCTTCGTATTGCGCAGCGGAATCTATTCAATTTTCGTTTGAGGTGGTTATTTCGTAAAATCATTTATGTGAGAATTGTTTCAAATGTCTACAGTTTAATCTTTACATTAATACGTGCAAAATAAGACCAATTAAATTAAAATTGACCGTCTCAAAGTTCTAAAAAACATGTTAAAGTTTGCCATGTTAGTTAATTATGTTACACGAAACATTACGTGTAAAACACGTTAAAAATATTATTACACGTAACAATATAATTCGTCGTAATATTATTACACGTGAAATATTGTTTACACATATTATTATGTGTTAAAATATTAATATTTGCGTTTGCAGACGCAAATGATGGTACATTTAATTTTTTTTAAGCTTAACAGTGAGCGAGATTCGTATGAGAAACAAATATGTTATAGAGTAAAATAGAACAAATTACTGGGAAAAAATCAAGATTATTAACCGTTCCGTTTCAACAATATAAACAGTTAAAACTGAAAAATGGGAAGCATTATGTAGTAGGCATGGGTGTAAGAGATGCAGCAACAGCACCTCAAACTATTATATAATCTTTCGAATCTATTTTATATTTTATATTGATCATAAGTGTATTCTTTAGAATATTGCATCAAGATATATCATTGTAATAACTGAGTGCTAGTTCCTGTCTGGAAGAAACTTTTGGGCATTACTGTCGCGAAACAACTACCTTAAGACAATAAAAACAGCCTCAGTGTAGGGTGGTCCAGGTTCAAACCCTGGCCGAGGTAATATTTTTTGCAATAAATTTTCTGTATTATTAAAAATGCCAGATACGTTCGACAGAAACATTGAAGTTGACAATAAAAATGGTTAACAATTGAATAATAAAATAATTGGATCTGATAAAGGTTCCTCGTTTTCCCTCGGAAATATTAGAAATCCGTATTTACCTTGGGGTCGAAGTTGAAGACCTGTTCGGGCCGGAGCGGGCACTCCAGGCCGCATTTGCAGGTTCCCACTGTCGTCAGATATTCCTTCAGTTGGTCCAGCGAACCCAGCGCCGTACTGCTTGGACTGAAATAGAGAAATGGACAGAATTATTCTCCAACTCTCGCCACGGCTTAACAACGTGCAAACAAACTATGACGCGTACGCGACGTGAATTGCGCAATGTTTACCGAGCTTAGCGAACGTGTCTTGGCCATGCCTTTTTCTCCGCGGTGCGCTAACGACTGCATTTCCATTATTATCAACAGTATATATTGTCCGTGTAAATAACGCACCAACCTGCAACCGCGCGCGCCACGTAATTTATGAAATACACGCGATTCCTCGGGGCTTTTCTTTCGTGACAACTTGCCAACTTTTAGATAAATGATGCGTTATTACCCCATTGCAGCATTAATGTCGATGTTGATATTAGTTGCAAAAAAATCCAGAATTGCAAAAGCAGCAAGGACGCATGCAGAGCGTGAAATTGAAGGGTTCGGGAGCGGCGCGGTGACGTAAAGCTATAATCTACGAGATTTTACAAACTTGAGATTTTAAACGGGCCTTACAAATTATAGATTTATTCCACTCTCGCTCCGAGCTCCTCAATCGGAAATCCAATGCACTACGATAATTTTACATTTCAATTTAAAGCGCAAATTGCGAACGTCCGACCGTTGCCGGTGGAATAAATTACAGGTTAAACACTACTTAATCGAGGCAGATGCTCGCCAGACATCTGCAAAAATTACCGGGAAGTTCGAAACGCATCAGAGATGCTGCATTACGATATACGTACTTATTAAATTTCGCGAAGAAAAACTCAATGCGAAAAAAGATTGAGTCTCGCTTAATATTTTGTTTAAAAAAATTTCTAGCGCAAATAATTACACTTTCTCCGTGCATTAAAAAAAAAGAGCGGCTGAGTAAAACTCACGGGGAGCTTTTCCTTTCTTAATTACGCATGAAATAAATCAGCGTGAAAAAATTGAGCGCGTCCGGCGTGGTTAACCATTTCGAAATTCTATTTACTCCCCCCCTCCCCAGTAACCGCGAACTATCCAACTGAAAGTGCATTAAGCCGAAGGTTTACGGGAAAGGTATTCGAAAGCACTGCGAAGGCAAAAAAAAAACGATGTTGGAGGATGCTGGTCGCGTAATCGGCTTCGTGATGAAAAGCGATCAAGATGAGAGCATTTCGGGGGAGAAACACGAGGTAGGCGTATTATAATTTGGTCGGCCGCCCCTCCGCAAGGGAGAAGGGGGGGGAAGATGGAGCGGAAGGGGGTGCTTTATTAGCTAAAGATACCGCTTGTCTGGCGGCTATCCCCGAACGCCTGGAACGAGCCGAACAAGTAAGCCGGGATTCTCGCCGGTGGTTCATGCTAAACCGACAAGGTGGAACGAGGCAGGGGTCGTCGCCTGTATATTGATTACCTGCTGGAGAGACAGAGAGAGAGGAGACTTTGTTTCGACGTACTTTGCAGCTTCCTAAACTAATAACCGCGGGCGGCTCGTCCCCGGCATTATAACCCCGCGGGAAAAGGCGAGGGCCTCCCTTTCGTCCCGCGGGAATGCTCGCAGCAATTATTTCTCATGACAACAAGACGGATTCGTAAACCCACCCCGGCGCTAATTCGCGTTGAATTCGATTTGTTCACGGAGAAACGCTCTCCACCCGTCTCCTCCTGTCACCTCACCTGGGCGCCACGGCAAGAGTTTGCGAATTATTCAAGTTCATACTCTCACTTTGGCTTCGTTTAAAAATTATTGTCGCAGACCGTACTGTCTCCCTTCCGTCTCAAATAAAAGTTTCTCGACATTAAACATTGCCTTTCGAATAGCAAATAGCAAAGCTCGTTAGAGCTCGAGCTCCTGGACAGAGAAAGAAAAGTAACAAAGTTAACAGCTAACAAAGTTAGCAGCTAATAGTCCGTCATTAGTCATTTTTAGAAATTCAACAACTTCGTAACTCTTGCTGCGAAAACGCTTTTTCACTTAGAGACATAGAGTCAAGTTAGCAGACAAGCGGAGTACCTCGGTAATAGCATGGTTTCCATCATGAAACCCGCTTTCAAAGGCGCCGCTTACGTACAATTATCGCAACCACATAAAGCGTGCGCAATCCGGAACTAAATTCGCGACTACCAAAAGGAATGAACTTGAACGAATCGAGGGCAGACTTGGGAGCCGCGCGGCCAACCGGGCTGCTCCATCTCGTATACAGGGTGTCCCAGGAGGAAAGGTCAATATTCTGGGAGGTGATAGTGTCGGTCATTTTAAGCAACAATGCTCGTACGAACATGTGTCGCGTTCCCCACTGTTTCCGAGATAGAGCTACTTGAGTGTCTCGTGTAGTTACTTTTTTTCTGTACACTTCACCCTTCGTCCAACCTCATAAACGTCCGCGGGAATTTACTCTTACACGCCTGTTGTGTGCCGATAACATTGTAGAAATGTTCAAAATGCCTCGCGTATTCACAAATGTCGAACGAGCAACACGCCATGCTCACAGAAGAGTTGAAAAATGCAGTGTTGTTAACGGTGGAATTTTTGAAAATTTATTATGATCCGTAAAAAATGTATCGCGTGAACAATAAATATTAGAAATAGTACGTAGCACTTCTTTCTCGTCGATAATTTTGCAACTGTGCATTCAAATGGCTCTATCTCGGAAACAGCGGGGAACGGGACGTATATTCACAGGAACATTTTTGCTTAAAATGAACCGATACTATCACCTCCCAGAGTATTAACCTTTCCTCCTGGGACACCCTGTGTATAAATAATTCGGTAACGCCTTGGCAAAAGCCATTTTCCGCCGCTGCCGCGAAACGGCGACCGAATCTGAATGTACAGTCGCGCAATATCATAAATAAGAGCAGGGTGACTTCCTCCCGTTTCCACCGTTCGCGCCAAGTGCGTTGGAACGTGTTGCCGGTAACGGGGACGAGAAAGACACCGAGTTACGCCGGATGAATTATGTTCGCCGGCATGGCTGGCTAAGCCGCTTGTCCCTGTAAAGTACGTGGCCACCGCCGCCGCCGCCGTTGCCGCCCGCGAAACCGGTGTCAGCTTTTCCTGCACCGCCACCCTTTCGCGCGCCCCTTTTTCCGGGCCCTTTCCGCCGACGGTCACCGCGAAATCGTGTAATTATTCTTGTTTTCGAGGACGGCCAGCACCTGGTGCGAGCGACAACTTCTATTCGAAAACACGATAAGCCCGTCGCGCGAGATGCGTTGGAGGACGCTGGGCTCTTTCTCCAATTGTCTCTCGTGGCGCACGAGAGGCAGCCCGGGGAACCGCGACGGGAAATTATATAATAGAGCGCACACTCGGATCATTTGAATTTACGACACGCTCGAGGATAACGACCCCCTCTGTTATGGAAATATTACGGGGGCATGAGGGGGGCGCGGATGGATGGCAGAACGAAAGTAATATCTGACAATTTAATTGAGTTAATTAACAAGCTGTTCCCGTGCGTTTCGGACCATTGCTCATTCTGCCAACGGGAAGCGGTGTTGCGGTGACGCGCGCGCGCGTTGCGAGGGAGGTAAATCAGCCCCCTGGATAAGTAGACTCGTTTACAGGGACGCGGCAATTGCCAACGGCTAAATAGGCCGCGTTATACCTGAAATATCATCGGCGGAGGGTCTAAGACCGCGTCCGGAGACAAATGCGCGATTACGAGGGTTGCTTTCCGGGGGGACTGTCATTTTTAGGCTAAATTGACAGCTCTGCTGCGCACAATTAATTTCTCCGTTCGGAGGAGACGGTCCTCGACGTTTCACGAGTGATTTGCGATCGATCTCGAGAGCTATATTTTTTTTACTGCTAACCGAAAGGTTCAGCCAATCCGATTATAACGTTGAGAAAGATTAATGTTACGTAAAATAAGATTGGCGTTCGGATAAGCAAACTTCGTTTAAACGAGTATCGATCCGCTCAAACGAATTGCAAAGGTAGCCGTGACTCTCGTCAAACAGTCCGCCCGGTTGCTACAAATAATTGCTATTATTTAATGTTTGTACTAATGTAACGGTTAATATTAGCCACGTTGTGACTTTGAGCGGGCAACATTGTACTTGCAATTGGCTGCATAACTACGGCGGTCAGGTTCCCACAATCCTCGACACCGCGACCACGCTTCTCGAAGCTGAAAATGATGTTGGCGCCCGGACTGTACTTATCTACGATCTATGATCGCTCGCTTACCTTTCGCGTGAGCTTTACAATCGCTCGCGGTAACCTGCACGCACACTCGATTGTGTCCACCCGTTAGATACGCGCGGCCACATACTAATTTCGACGTCGATCGTGGGAATAAGCAAACGCAATCTCCTATTTGTCACGTTTCGCGTCTGTCCTCTCTGCGTTGGTCTATGTCTTTCATTCCAGCTGTATACCTAGGAATAATGGTAAGGTGGTTCTTTCCCAACTGTGCTAGTCAAAATGAGAAACCTGATCGATAAAGTTCAATAGACAGCGAATTCTTTTATACTAAATTCAAGGACAGATTTTTAAACGCTACTGCTTCTCGTAGAATACTAAAAACCGATAAAATAAAACAGAGTTTCAGAAAATGAAACAGTGTTAGCAGAGCGTTGATCGTGGCGACATCGCATTTCGCTGTGAATGCGATAAGTTGTGAAAAGATATTTTAATTATCACAATGGAAAATCAGTTACGATACAAAGGGCGTTTTATAAAGAAAGAAAGTGTTAGAGCAGAAGCGAAAACGCAAAGAACAAAGAGAATGGCACAACCTACGTTGCCACATCCGCAAAGCATTGCCGTGCACGAAAGAGTTAACCTATAGCCAAAGTTTTCTTTGGATTCATCGTACTCTGATACCGCACACCACTTTCTATCGTTTGTTAAATTCCCTCTAGTGGCGTTTGTCCGCGTGCAAACCGGACTCGTGTCCGAGGACGCGATTAATAAGCAGAAATATTTTCTGCAGATTACATTTAAAAAAAAAAATTGCGCCGCGACGAGTGAAAATATTGTCGCTGCTGTTCTCGCGACGTAAACCAATAGAAACCCTCAAACGCGCTCGATGTTCAACACTTCGAGAGTAT